GAATGAAATATCAGCCGTTTCATCACAGTTGACGGTAGAAAGAGGTATTCCACAAGGTAGCGCCTTAGGACCTCTCCTCTTTTTGATTTTTGTGAACGATCTGTGTGCTAGTATTACAAGCCCAAATAATGTATGCACGATCCTATACGCTGATGACACTAGTGTACTTGAGCCTCTGCAAGAATGCATTTTTGGGGTTTCCTCGTAATTCATTATCTCTGAATACCTCAAAACCAAATGCGATTGTTTTTGAGTTGAAAAAAAAAATCGAAGCTACAAACATCACCTTAGCAGAAGGAATAGAAGTCCCTCTGACAGACTGTGCAAAATTCTTGGCAGTTCATATTGATCAAGCACTTTCTTGGGCTAAACATATAGAACATCTAGAAAAAAGGTTAAACAACGCATGTTATGGTATTAAAGTAATAAGTAACTACCTAGACCTAAAGACTCTAAAAATGGTATATTACGCGAATTTTGAGTCCATTGTACATATTGGAATAATTTTCTTTGGACATACTAGCCATTCCAATAGGATTTTTCTAGTGCAGAAGCGAGTGCTGAGGTGCATCCTGAAAATTTCCTCTAGAGACTTGCAGAGGAAAATTTAAGAGTAATAAAATTTTAACTGTAGCCGCAATATAATATTCAAGAGATCCTAATTTTTACATTCAAAAATATTGACAATTTTATCGGTAGCCCACAAAGTGACTGTAACACATGAAATAGAAATATAAATCTTCTGTATCTACTCCATCATCGCACAATTACCGAAAAAAATGTCCATTACAGCTGCACTAAAATATATAATAAGTTACGACAAGAAATTAAAAGTTTGGCAGATATAAAAGAATATAAAAAGAGTATTTATCAATTGTTAATGCACCTAGAACCATATGACCTTCAAGAATATTTTCAAATGTAAAATCTCTATTATGTTATATGTTTTGCCTCTTCGTTTTTTCTGTCTCGATGACACTGTGACGTATATTTCACATATCAGTGTGTAGGACATGGTAATCATGCACTGTTATTTTGAAATAAAGATTTATTATTATTATAATATGTAGCATAGGCTATGTTCATAGTGAAGATGCATACTGTGATGCTCTCTTCGCTACCTTAATTATTGCTTCCTTGATCTAACCACAATGTAAAGCAAACACATGTTTTAAGTTGGGAGCGCCCGGGACGACGATGTATTCTGCGCCGCTACCTTCGCTTCCTCATGGCCGACCACACGGAAATTCAAATATTTTGTTTTTACCTAGCTGTCAGGAGGGAACAATCAGGGTGGGCTTAGCTGTGATTGGTTCCTCAGCAAGAATTGGATTTCTGTGCAAGTTGGTGTACTTGCAGTCGAGCAGTAGAGACACAACTTTGTCGAGTATGTAACCAACCGTATTCTCAATTTGGGGAAAAGATGGTGGTACTCTCCAAATTCCTGTCTTGGTTTGTTTACTGAATGTGTACTGCATTTTCGATTTGGTAGAGAACTTAACATCCACCACTTGGTGACTAGAGACAAATCACTCTGTCACTGTTGCTCAACAACATCCTGCCTTACTATCTCACGAACAAATGAAACATTAAGAACTGTGTTCGAGGAGAGAAAAGAAAACATTGAGGGTGACTTCAGTATGAACATCCTCTATCCATGTAGAAAGTCGCGAGGAAGCGCTCATTGAGGTAGTGAAGAAAGCATAACAGTAAGCATCTTTCACTATGTACATACCCTTAGAATGATCATCAGTCCAATTATCTGCCTCTTTTTTGATTATTTCTCTGGTCTAAAGTCTCGAAAGCATGAGTGGTGTAATCGAGTAATTACCTGTGATCTCAAAGCTAGGAGCTCCTCTTTTCTTCTCCTCTCTTCATCAGCTTTGGCTTTCTCTTCTTGTTCCTTCCTTGCAAGAAACTTTTTGATATTCTGCGATAGCGTATTGGGCTTCTTTGACTCCTTCTTAGGAGGCTCAAATTTCGTACTATAATATCTGACCTAAATATATGGAGTGTGAATTGATTGTTGTTTTCTAGAATGTATGCAGAGGTGATGGATGAAATCTTACCCCATTGCTGCTTGTAGTCTTCTCGTTTTTTTTGGCAGTGTGTAGGATCTGGCCAAAATCCATCTTATACCTAAAAAAATATAGTCAATTATATCAAAAATTAAAATTAATTTAAGACATCGAAGTCCATACACTGTACACAATTCTGTCATCAGCATCAGCAAGACAGCAAGAATGCTAATGTCAAATCAGCTGTGAAATTGACGTTCACCACTGACAACCACTACCAACTGCAAAAAAATCCTCTGGTCCTAACCATGAAGACTAGAGATAGGAGGTTAATCTCATGGAGTGGGGGTGAAGCCAAAAATGTCGACAATGAAGTGAGTTGGTACACTGCATACCAAATGAATATCGGAAATGCAAAAATAATGTTTTATGTTATATGACATGTACATAAAAAAACCATTCGCTCAGTCGAAAATTAAAGGAAGTAAAATTGGCTAATTGGTTGCACCGGTGCCTCAACCGGTGAATTAAAGAATACGCCTAATTAAATCCAAGTGAACAATCAAAATTTCTGTGTTATATACCACGGTTATAATATGAATCAAATTTAAGCGAATAACCAAATGAAAATGGTATTTTACCATTTTGGATTGGTATTTACCGATCCGTTCAAGCGAGTGTGGTTATCAGTTTGGTTATAAGATCCGTGACGTCATTAATCAGCTGTTATATCGCTCCGTTGATAGAAAAGTGACATAATTCAAAAATTGCATTTTTTCGGTATGGGCAATTCAAAAGTTTTGCAATGGAACAGCGTATTGATCAGGACAGTGAACATGAATGAAATAATTTTTTTTCTTTTATACTTTCAATTATAATGTATCCTTTGGAAAAATAGACGAATTTGTATGGTTTGACCTTGTGGACCCTAATTACGACGTAGATTTAAACCCTTATCCTAGTTGTGACACTTTTCCATATCAGAAAACGATTACTTGTTATAAGATGTCATATAAAATCGCCAGAAAAAATCGAGAAATCTCGAAAATGTTTTAATGAAACATGTAAACAATATTGCAGATGTACAAACATTGTTGAATGTTGAAATGTTTAAGCACAAAACGTAAAGTATTATGTTTTATAAAATTCTGCATGTTTGACGGGAATATGCTCTTTTTTCACTAGTTGCAGTAGTCCGTTTTTTTTCTTGTCGGCAAGCTTCAGTTTCTTTGTGTACAATTTTTGTAGGGTTATACCATCATTTCCTTTATTTACCGTCGTTCTGGTTTTTTTTATATCCAATGTACTGAAATGTTCGTCTGAATAAGACATCTTGTACAGAATTTTGTATGGATTTTCTTTTGAAATTTTTATTATTTTCATGTCACCCATCTTATCATCGTTAGAACTTCTTTTATCTGAAGATCCAATTTTCTCATTTAGTTTTTTTGGATCAAAAAAATCTTTAAAAGACAATTCCCTCACTAAGTAAGGTCTCCCATTTTTCTTGGCAGTTTTGATGATTCCAACGTATTCTGCTGGCAAATTGGACCTGATTTCAAACAGCGTTTTATCTGACGCTCAATCACAGAATGTGCTGAATCGCCCTCATTTTGTGTGTGTCCTTGGATTAAGAACTTGTGGGTAATGGACTTTATATTGGTATATTTAATCAAAGCATACACATACATGGTTAGAATAAAACGATTTTTTTGTTGTCCCACACAGTTGTCGGAATACAGTACAATTTCTATTTCACCATCAGGATTTGCTTTCGATTTTTCGTCTAAGAATTTGAGGAGACAAGAACCAATTTCATTTGCCCCTCTTTGTCCTTGAGTTTCATCCCAAACATAACAGTAGCATTGATCATCCTGCTTATTTCGCGACATTTCGAATATTGTGAAATTAAAAACATTAAGCTTTGAAGTATAATAGAATGTTGACGTGTCTCCCTTGGGGCATGGTAGCACTGCCTGGAGGTCAAAACAAGCTACTACATAATTTTGATCAATCTTATGTTTGTCGTCAGATTTTTCAACCCGGGACAGATCTTTTTCTGATAAATGGGTTTCATATTCATTTCTTAAATTGTCTCTCTCTTCGGCTGAAGCGTTCGTGTAGGTAGAACAAACTCCACATTGATCTTTTTTTGGCGTGAAAAAAGAAATATTATATTCACGAGTAAAAATTTGATGGTAAATCAAGTACTTTCCAGCAGGTGAGTTATTTTCTGCACACGCCTTAGTGTAATCCCTGTGTAGATCACGTACGGACCTACCACCTTCGATATATTCACGAGAAGAACGAGCTCTCAAATGGTGACTGTCGATTCTTGGTATGGAGTTTATATGGTTTCGGATTCCTTCTTTTATGCTCGCTTCCAGTTTAGGATGTTTGCCATGTTTTCCTCGGAGATCCTGTGCCACCATTCCTCCACATGCAGCCTGTTTGCTTACTACAGTTCTTATTGGTCTATCTGTTATATCCAGAGTAGATTTAAAAAATGATTTATAAACTCTAACAATATTTCCATTAACTTTAAAATGGAATGAATTACGCCGATTGGAGTTACTCCGATGGTATTGGTATTTGGGTTTAACAGGCTTCATGCAAGATGATAAATAGTCTCGTTGTCGTTGTGAATCACCAAACGCCCAAAAGTTATCAAAAATGGTTTTGCGACAGTCCTCAGTAATCCTTGTTTTGCATTTGAGTCTACAGCTATCTTTCAGGGAGGCTTCATTTCTCTTGCTCGGATCACTGTTTTGGATTTCGATGATGACACATACTCAACTCCAGCATTTCTGGCTAATTTGGCAGCATTTTTTTCCACTGGGACTCATTCCGCTTACGTTTCTTAGTTCTCTTAACATCTGCTGTGGTTATTTTATCAATTTCTGGAAGATTTCCTGAAGCATTTCCTGCGCCCTGCTGGGAACCCAAGGATCCTATAGCTAATGAATTGGCGCTCACAGACTCGCTCTGTGATGAACTCTCGCTTTCTGTCTCAGATAAGTAGTTTGGGTCTTCATCAGTATCGTCAGAATCAAAAATGTCTTGCACAGCTGAACTGTCATTTCCATCAGCATCGTTGACCATACTCTCTGAAATAATAATAAAGCCTGAGGATGTGCAAAGAACATAATCACAAAACCAAAGAAAGATCTGATTACCTACCAATTTCAGGTGTTATGTCGTTATCCATACTACTATCAACTTCATCGGTAGCGTTACCAATTACATTGGTGGTTTTGCGCATGGGCTGTAATTCATAGAAACTGGGAGAAGCATGATCTGGAAAATACAGAGGACTCAGATTGATCTAACGAATTCGATAATATGGACCAGAAAGGTGGTGATGCCACGCCCCGGCGTTTCCATGTTAGCCAAAGGTAGATTAGGACCAACAAAAGTTGACCTCGTGTTAGGTTACTTTATCCAGTAAACAAGGGAGAACCAAGGATTTTTTTCTATGACTTTACCAAGCAAATAATGAAGCAATATGAAGTCTAAGAAAAACTTCCAGAGTTATTAAATTGTCCTGCATTATGTAGCAGAACTTCTGTCTGTCATTGTTGACAAGGAAGGATTCACGCCAGCCAGCAGTATTTTTTCCCTCTATAGAACAGACACAAGCATGCCCCCTATCCTAGTCATTCTTGTAGAACTTCACAGAGTGGAAAAATAATAAAAAAGGCGCACTAAAATCACTGTAGTACTTCAAAAACCATGATTATTTAATGAACGCCCAATTGGAATTTACATGGAATCTAGGATTTGTTGGTCAGGTTGCTAGGGGCAACGGCTCGGGCAAAGGTCATCTTTTGTGATCTCTTGATTAGGTATAAAAACTGATGCTTATTGCTTAAAAGACTTCATGAAATACAACACACTGAAGTGAATAGAACGTTTGTGTAGATATTTACCACATCCAGGAATATCATCAACCATATTAAGGCCAATTTCACAAGCAATATTATTTTTATCAATGAAAGTAGCTTCACCGTTAATTATACATTGTGAAGCATTATCGACACTCTTGGTTGCACACTCTACAACAGTTGAATCTGGAATTAATTTATTAGGTGAGTAAGCATAAATTATACTGAATATAGTATGAAAAACTGGATAAACTTGCTAACCTTTCACAGTCTCAAGTACCTTCCATTCTTTTGTAGGCTGTTCTAAGGCTAGTTTTGTAATAAGTTTCCCTCTTTGGCAAAACATCCTGATTGTTAAAAGATTTAGGACTGTTGTGTAGCCTAAAACAAAACAGAAACTGATTAGTCTGTCAATGTCATAATTCCAAAAATCATTTTCTGATATTTGTAGAAAACTGTCACATCTCCAAGTTTGAGGTTAGAAAACAGTCACAATTCAAATATTTTATTGTAAAATATAAAGAACAATGTCACAACTTGAAGAAAGACACTTCTCTGTAGATAAAATGAATCTGAAATACACCTACCTTCTAAGGGAAAATGACAAATCACGAAATAAGAGTTTCTTCCATAAATAAAACCAATTAGTATGAGCCCATCTATGAAAGAAATATGGCACAGCTCGAAATATGACGTTTTTCTATAAATGAAATGAACGAGTATAAAGTTATTTCACGACGAAAGATGACACAACTGGAGATAGCACGTTTTTCTATAAAACACTCCACGACTAGCAACACTCCACTACCGTATCTGAATCACAACTGTCGTTTTTCAATAAACATGCATGGCCTCCTTGTTTAGAGGACATCTGACACTTCTGCTCTCTAGCGGTAAGTAGGAAGAACTATATGTGTTTATGTGTGTCACTTTTCCACATAAATATACATGCGTTAGGATGCCTTTTTATTATCCTAACTCAAAAATGCTAATTTTTGAGTTATGTCACTTTTCTATCAACGGAGCGATATGTCATAGTTATCACCGCAAAATTGTGGTATTTACCCAACTCAGGAGTAGTTTTATATTTCTGGTTATTATTTGAAATGTGATAAGTTAGAATTTTTCCGGGTATTGGATATTGTTATTGTACTTCAGCTTCATTTTTGGGAACCTTGATACGGGCTGACTTCAGTGTTAGCATAAAGTGTAGCACCTTATTAGTTATACTCATTACTGTTGTTGGGAACACTTTCAATCTAGTTCCTATGTTTAACAAAGTATCCTGTGTAGCCATATACCTAGGGTGACCATAATTTTTCATCAAAAAAAAAGTACATTTATAAATTTAAAGGAAATTCAGTACAATACTCTAGAAAATTTATCTGGTTAAAATTTTAAGAATCTTTAATCGAACAATAAGAGAATGTTTTTTTTTTAATCAAACATAGGTACATAAATTATGTATATATATATTTAAAGCTAATTTTAAAAGCTAATTTTCTTTCGACGTTCCTGCCAGAAAATTTTGATCATCATTCTGGTACCAGTCGTACTTTTTGGAACCATGAATTTCCTTCAGAAGTTGTGTTTCACTCTTTAAGAACTGAAACATTTCATTGCACGAAACTTTGAAGTTTGTGTAGACTTGCATGATGGCTTCCAGAGTAGATATTTTCAGCTGCGATTTGTCGGGACTCCAATAGTTATTGATATTTGAGAACAACCTCTCAAGCGACGCACTGGTCCCAGGCAGACAAAAAACGAACTCGCATAGAATTTTGAGATTTTTCAAAGCACTTTCTTTTTGGAAGACTTCGAGCCATCGATCTTCGGTAGAAATATTTCTCGAATTCCAGTCTACGATTTTATCTTCTGTAACGTTGGTTCGTATTAAACTAACTTCATCGAACAGTTCGTCCTGATTCAATATCGGACCTATGTAGTCCTTGAAAGCCTCACACGACGACAAAATTTCAGCCCAAGAAACTTGTTTTTTCAAGTTAACCCATCCAAATAGCTTTAGTTCACTTAAATTTTCACTCCAGTTTTTCAAATATGTTACACAATTCGAATAGAACTGCTTGACATGCATGATGAAGATATCCCGATAGTTTACACTACGGTCAATGTCTCCCATATTCTCAAGTTTCGAAAGTGACTCTCTTACTTTAAGCGGTAAATATAACTCATTTAAACGATTTTGAAGCTTATTTATGAGTTCGAAATACTCCAAAGCGGCTTCTGTTGCGCATATTTTGTCACCTTCTACATCTAAAATCACTTTGTGGAAGAGAGACGCAATGTTATGCACAAACCACATCCATGCTTCACTGATTGGGTTTTGAAAAAACTGTTTTAGAACTGTTGGACAATTATCAGTCGATAAAAAATATGCTTTCAAGGGTTCGAACATTTGTACAATTCGTTCAATGGCTGGCATTAGGCTTAAGAATCTAGTTTTTGAAAACGACAACATTTTTTTTGTACTCGACATCAACAAAATCACAAAACTGTTTTAGTTTCTCCACTCTGACTGTAAAAATATAGAAATGCTTAAAAATCTTGACCGCAATAACCTCGACGTCTATTGGTAAGACGTCCGTCGCATTTTGTAAACAGTTGTTAAAGATGTGTGGTACACAACCAATTCCAATGACGGGTTTGCCACGAGAAGCATTTAACTTGCTGAATAGATTATTCACTCCTTTTCTCCTCATTCCACCAAAATTTGTATTTGTGTTATCAGCAGACATTCCGATGCATTTTTGAAGTAGATTATGGTGATTCAAAGCACTGACCACGTAATCTTTCAACTGCTCTGATGTTTCTCCAGGTAAGTCACGCAGCTGAAGTAATTTTACTTGGATACCCTTTTCACCATCAAAATACCTTACCATTAAGGGCACAACTTTAATTTCTCGATGATTTGACGAATCGATCGTGATGCTAACAAAATTTGCTTTTCGAAGGTCAATTTCTAATTGGGACTGAGCTTCTTGAGCTAAAACATTTTTTACAATCGCCTCAGTCTTGGTTCGAGCTGCCGCAAATTTTGGTTCAAACATGTTTACAATTAGTTTTGACGTGCAGTCTAAGGATCTGAAGCTTTGCAAATGCTTAATTGTATGGTAAGCAAAAGTACCTTCCTTGGCAGCAATCAACATATCTTCAGAACTTGAACTGTCACTTTTAAGAAAAGTTTCCAATTTTCTGCTCTTCAAGTTTGCATTTGCAGCCAAAATGTGTTTCTTCTTGGACAAATGTTGTTTGATATTACTGCGACCACTGTTAGAAATATCAACATCACTTCTGCAAACTTGGCAAAACACAATATGCGGTGAAACATTTGATTTTTGTTTCAAAAATGGATACTCTGCTTGCAACTCAGCGTTAAAATGGCATTTTCTTCGAGGCGGTGACATGATAAAATTGTTTACTTTTCCACACAGCACAAAAAAGTATAGATAAGATACAAGAAAAACTGCCGGAATTTAACGTAAAGGTAAATAGACTAATCGACAGCAAGCCCAGAAGTAACTAATAAACATACGACGAGATACTAGCTGCGAAATGAAATAGACAGAGATGGGAGATGGACGTATCGGCTAAACTAGACGACGACCTGCGATCGGTTGCTGCTAGGGATGGGCGATTCTTCCACAAAAGATCGATTCTTGAATCAATTCAAATCATAATAATCATAGTTATATTTCGTTTTCACAAATAGTAGGACTAAATTTTGTGTAATTAAGAAAAAGAGTACATGTAGGTGTACTTCATAAATCGTAAAGTACAATAGGACAGCGTCTGAAAAGAAAGTACTGTCCCACTAAAAAAAGTACATATGGTCATCCTACATATACCACAAGAATATTAAAATATGACCATATAAACCCACTGGATAATGTCCACCTGTATATGGTTTTGCTAATACCTTTTTTCATCGCTTTTTCCTATCATTTCTGCTAAATCAATTAATGTTTTCTTTAACATGCGGAAAAGTTTAGAGAATTGAAAGTTATCATAGCTCCAAAGCCATGGTTCCACTAATTATGAATGGTGTCTTTTTTAAATATTCCATAGACTGTTGTAGACGAAAAAGCATCGATTATTAAGTGATATTAAAAATAATCAGAAATTATATACGCGCTTTTCTAAAATAAACAACTTGCAACAAAAATGCGGTTAAAACCAACGCGTTCAGGCGATTTGTGTAACTGACGTCATCAATCCGTGTGTCATCTTGAACCATATTATAACCGCGGCACATAACACAGACATTTTGGTTATTCGCTTGGATCAAAGAAGGTATCTACAGCTAGCAAAATATATATATCAATTAAATTTAACCAACATTAAACGTAGACAAGTCAAGGGAAGGAATAGGCTGGGAGTAGAGTTCCTGGATTACAAGTCAGCAAACTCTTTTGCAAATAAAGAACTCAATGGGTACAATATATATATATACAATTCAACAAAGTAACATGCAAGGGAATCATAATGGTGCGTTTCCATGCTTGCCAAGCAACCACAAGGCACAAGCGTCCACAAACCACGCTTGGCATTTGGAAGTCGTTTACACGCTTGTGAATGCGTCAGTGTGCTACGTACATCCAAGCATGGCGGACACCGAACTTGTATCGGCTATTACGTTTGGTTTAACCTACTTTTATTTCAAATATAAGCAAAGTAAAACAAAATCAAGGAAAGCCCGACGACCACGAAGATGGTGGGAAATCGTACCAGGTAACTAATAAGTTTTTCAGTTTATTTATTTATTTTATACTTTATTGTACACTGTAGTTATTAGGATTTGCAAAGTACCTACATGATATATAATTAACAGTGAAAAGTACAATGGGCGGCCTTATTGCTAAAGGCAATTTCTGCCAGGCAACCTTTTTACCTATGTCTATTATGTTATCCCACAATATATAATTATTATGTAGGTAGGTATATTAAAGTGCAATAAAGTATATCAATAAAAAATAAATTTACATAATAATTGCTTTAATTTGTTACAGCCAATTTATAGAAGATACATTTAATGAACCATCTGGAGAGTTCGATAATTTCTGCCGAATGAGTTATGCTGATTTTGAGTTTTTGCTGCAGTAAATTTTACCAATAATTTCCAAGCATGATACCGACTTCAGAGAAGCTATACCAACTAAATTTCGTCTTTCCATAACGCTACGATTTTTAGCATCTGGTGATTCTTACAAAAGCCTACACTACTTGTTTAAAGTATCTGTCCCTATGATATCAAAAATCATTCGTGAAGTTTGTCAAGCTCTTAATGAAGTTTTAAAGGATCAAGTTAAGGTAAGTGGTAAAATAAAACAACTGTTATTATTTATTTATTCAGATTTTAATAAGAAATCTGTTGCATGTAATTAGTTGACTGGTATTTACTTATCATTTAATTATTAAGTAGCTTCAAATAAGAACCATCCCGATGACTGAAAATCTTCGAAAGTTTTCAGTAAAGCCTCGTTTATACTGTTGCGTTCCGGCGGGGCAGGCTGGATGATTTGATCCCATATGATATTAATAAGTTGCGAGGGTGCTTCTGAAGGAGATGGAGCAGTTGAACGTGATCGATGTTCAATTATTATGTTTGAGAAGGGCTCTGAATGAGAGGTTTGCGTGGATGGAAGGTGGCCATTGATGAAGGTCTAGAATAATATTGAGGGGATGATGTATGACGTGCGTATGACCTTTGGTTGATTCTGCTTATAAACAACCCGGCTATTTGGTACATAATAAGTTTTGGTTCATCATTTGGCAGTTCGCGTAGCTTTATAGCTAATAGCTTTGCGTATAAATCGCAATCATCGTCTTCGTGAGCTGGTCTACATTCACTTCGCCTTTGTCTTATATCATTTGTAAGTTGTTCGAATGCTGTGGCCATTTGCTTTTCAGCCGTTTCAGTAACAGGGCGACGACGTTTATTAGTAGATGTCGATGGTCGGGATGGTGTAGTGACCGTATCGGTATGGTCATCCTCTGTCTCTTCCGTTTCTTCATGTACAAAATTTTGTTGTGATTGCTGCAAAAAATAACAATTATTAAAACATATTGTTACTTACAGTTCATTTCTTTTCTTTTTACAGATGCCCACCACAGCAGAAGAATGGCTTAAAATAGAAAAAGGATTCAGGACCAAATTCCACATTCCATAGGTTCATTGGATGGCAAGCATATAGTCATAGACAGCCCATCTCATAGTGGAACAGAGTATTTCAATTACAAGAAAACTTTTAGCATTGTTCTTTTGGCATTAGTGGATAGCCAACATAAATTTATATTGGCAGCATAGGGAGTCAAGGAAGAATAAGTGACGGTGGAGTTTTTAACAATTCGTTATTATGGCAAAAAATCTCTAATAACGAGATACATTTTCCCTCGCCATGTCCACTTAAAGGATCGAATATAAATGTGCCTTACATATTTTTAGCAGACGGTGCTTTTGCATTGAGCAAACATGTAATGAAGCCCTACCCTGGAAACCATGACGTCGGTTCACCAAAAAGATTATTTAACCAAAACTTATCCCGCTCCCGAGTTGTAGTAGAAAATACGTTTGGAATTTTAACTTCAGTGTTCAGAATTTTTAGACGCCCTATGGACTTAGATCCACAAACTGTGTCGAAACTTACGATGACTTGTGTATTGCTACATAACTATTTGAGAACAAGTAAAAGTTCCTCAAATCGATATACTCCTCAGGGATCGTTTGACGTATATGATAGTAGTGGAAATATGGTGACCCCTGGTTCGTGGCGAAATGAAATCAATGGATATAATGCATTGCAAAATTTGCCTTATGTACCACGAAGATCTCCGCTGAATGCCAGACAAATCAGAGACGAATTTACTTCGTATTTTAGTAGAAATTGCTAAGTTCATGAAAATTAAAAATAAAATTATTATAAATAAATGTGGTTTCATTGATTTAAAATAAACGTTGCTTTTTACTTACAGTTTCGGTATTTATTCCATCAATGCAAGTATATACTGGTAGTAAAAAAGACTCATTTCATCATCATCATCATTTCGTAAGCAAACCAAGTTGGTTTATATATGTCTTCACCACCTAAAACAAAAGATAATTTTAAAACTACTTTTAATAATACAAGTAATAAGAGCAAAGATACACCTTGCTTACTTAATTAAAATAATAAACACTGTACATACCTGCGCCAGAACGAGTAGAATCCTGTTTTTTTTATATGCTTTCGGAAAGTTGTCATCAATATTTCTTTTTTGGATTTTAATTCCTTTACTGGCTTCCCCATTAACTGGGCAAGACGACTCCAAGCATCTGCAACTTTCTTTTTATCTTTGTGGTTAACATCTTTGGGGTTCCAGATACACGTTTCGGTCTGGTAATATTCCAAAAACGATAAACTCTCTTCGTTCGACCAGCCACTCATTTTGAAGTCAGAACTAGACGTGCGTTCGTCGCGAGATCACAACGGCTACTAAGCGTGCGCCAACGTGTGAACGCGTCGCGAGCGCTTGCCGCAAGCGCCCTTTGATCTGTGTCCAAAAACCGACACTAGACCGGATCGGATACAAGCGTCCACAAGCTCACGCAAGCCAAGCCAAACACCCTCTTTACACGCTTGTGTTTGTGGACGCTTGTCAAGCCTTGGCAAGCATGGAAACGCACCTTAAGAAGTAGATACAAGCTTCACAATTGAAGAGATTATTAGCGTTATCGAATCTCCAATGAAAGTGTTAGATGCAAAAAGGCTCAATAGAAAAACCATAGTAGATGGCATTACAAAATACACGCCCACTGGTACCATACTAATAACATTTCAAGGCACAGTACGTCCCAGAGATGTTTCTATTTACTATCTTCTCTTTCCCGTATTTACATATATACCACATGTCACTCAATGTTACTCTTGTCTCACTTATGGTCACACTAAGACCCAGTGCAAGGGAAAAAGAAGATGCTTTAATTGCAGTAATCCTGAACATAATGAAGAGGGGGAGGACTTTCACTGTCAAAAAATGTTATCATTGCGATAGTCTGGAACACAGATCCAACTCGAAAGACTGCTCAGAGTACAAGAGGCAGGAAAAGATAAAACAACTTATGGTATTTGAAAATATTTCATACTTTGAGGCAAACGAGCTGTGTCCTAAAGCGTATAAATCGCAAAGTAATATGATAAACACAACCGACATAGCTTACAATAATAGAAATTTCCCAACAATCAGAAACCAGAATACACCTTCTACCTCCGGAACAAGTCAAATAAATATAGCACAAAGAAGAACATTTGAATTCGCGCGAATACAATAAAAACAAAAAGAACCTTTCAACAAGCACTATCACAAACACCAAAAAAAAAGAATAGTTGAATATAACACCGGATACAATAGAGAAAGTCACAATGAGAACCTAATAAAAATAAACGGTAGACAACAAAACAGTAACGGACCAATAACAGTACAAGCACAAGTGCACAATAACGCTTCAAACACAGAAGCACCATTCAACACACCTAAGATGCCTACTAGTGCCCTTTACAGAAATAACACTAAAGAACAAGTAGATGAAATCGTTGAAAACTTAAAATACCTTAAACCTGAAACCCTAACTAAAATTAAACAAATGATACAGACCAGACTGACAACGAATTTTACTGAAAAAGCAAAAAATGTTACATAGCCTAGTCTCAGTAGTACAAAACACACACAACTGCAACTTTACAGTGGAATCTAAGGAGTTACAGTGTAACAGCGTGAATTTAATACAATTTTTAGAAACGCATAACCCAGACATCATTTTTTAAATGAGACATGGCTAAAGAAACAACAGAGTTCTCATATTAGAGGCTATCAATGCATTAGAGCAGACCGAGAAGATGGGAAAGGTGGAGTAGCTACATTTATAAAAAATAACATCTGTTTTCAAAACATAAGACTCCCTAACCTAACCCATTTAACACTGAAAACCTACAATGTATTGTCACTAAAGTCCTTAATATTAATTTTGTTAATGTATATAGCCCTCCAAGCAACAAAATCACAATAAAACGGTTCAATGAACTATTGAAATCGCTCGTGGGCGAAGTGGTGTTGGTGGGGGACTTCAATGCCCATCACCCAGCATGGGGTAGCATTAAGACAAATTACAATGGTAGAGCTCTCTATGAAATCATAGAATCCAACAACCTCATCATAATGAATGATGGTTCCTCAACCAGTCTCATAGGACCAGGGGAGAATCCGAGTCCTCTTGACCTGACCATAGTGTCGAACAACTTGGCCACCATCACACATTGGGGTATTTTGCAGGACTAGTGATCACTTCCCGATCATTTGTAAATATGATCACTCACTAAGATCAACGAACGAAAGACCCAAAAGAAATTATAAAAAAGCAAATTGGTGTTTATACAAACAATTGATAAACGAACACTTTAGGATGAATACGGAAAATGTTGACTACCAAACCCTTGCTCAAACAATAAACATAGTAGCTGATCTCTCGATCCCCTATACCTATACCAAGCAAGATAATAACAGAAAGGTATCCAGAAGCCCATGGTGGGATGAAGAATGCACAGCCAAAATTGAACAAAGGAAAAAGGCCAAACGACAGTTTAAACTAGAATCTAGTTTAGAAAATTACATAGAGGCGAAAAAAATCAATGCACACACAAATAGATTCTTGAAAAAAAAAGAAAAAACCCAATTTAAAAAATTCTGCTCCACCATAAACAGAAATACGAATCCCTCTTTCATATGGAAAAGATTCAAAAAATTTAGTGACAAAAAAAGTATACAATAAAAACTCATCCCCTAACCCACAAATTGCCGCAAATATCATAAAAAATCTGACTGTGTGTAACATTCCAGCTGAATTCTCATTCCATTGTTCAAAAAATGAAAACCATCAATTCTACTTCAGAGATGTATGTATCGCTCCAGGAATGGACAACATCTCATATTTATTGCTCAAGAATCTACCAAGCTCAACACTACACTCACTATTAAACATATACAACAACTGCCTATTGGGTATGCAAATTCCTAACAGCTGGAAAGAGCATTTGATATACCCTATACTGAAAACAAATAAAGACCCAAATAACCCCAACAACTATAGACCTCTGATTCTAAGCTCGTGCGAAGGGAAAACACTAGAGATTTTGATCAAAAATAAACTCGAAAGTAAGATAACTTTTAACCACCTGCTGACAGGATTCAGAAAAGCACACTCTACCCAAGACAACCTCGCTTTCATAGTTTCCAACATAAAATTGGCTATTTCACAAAAAGAAACCACGTTAGCAGTCTTCCTAAACTGTATCCATCGAAGAAACAAAGTAAAATCAAACATATACACCTGTATTGCACGTGATCAAGAACTTAACCGTAGGAGACGCTACAGGGCCGTATCAAGCTATTGTGACTGATCTATCAAAAAATGTCGTACAAGATATGTGTTGCTGTAAATTCTATCAAAAGCATAGTAAATTATCAGGAATATACCACGCCTTTCTAATCATATTTCGACATTAGGAATCAGTGCAAAAAATTCTGTATTCACCATTTCAGCAAAATGTTACTAAAACGCACACGAAAAAAACTTGTGGACCATCTCAATTGAAATTGTTCATATTTTATTATTAACTTACATATATACCCAATAATATTTACAAATCAACCTTCTATTCACAATGCAGAGCATATTTTTTTGAGCAAATAGAAACTACAGACGTAGTAGTAGTAGTACAAAAGTTTATTACAGACTCCATCAAGTTTGTTAGTTTGATTGCTATTAAAATTTACATGAGAAATAGGAAGAAGGTCAAAATGGCACTATTATGCTTTGGAACTCCTAAATCAACCCTAATTTTGTGTAATTATAAATTTGGAATTTCCACATTAATAACTAGAAACTTACACTTTGATTGCAGTCTATAATGAACTTACCTGTCTTGCCAAAAAACCCGTTAAACTGCCAGTCTTAATGGTATCAATCGATTTATATGCTGTATTCCGAGGAGCTTGAATCATCAGAATTGTTGATATCAATTATAAGGGGTTCAACTTGGGTGTCAATGATATTGTCCATATCCCACATTTTGGTTTCAACCTTCTCTTGGACATGGTCAATACATGTTCTCCATTTTGCTGGCGTAATTCTATCGACAGCAACATCAAACAGTTTTTTAAGGTCAGAAAACTTAAAAGTGCTGTTATTTGACGGCACGTATTGCTTGATGTCGGCCCAAATCAACTCGATAGGATTCAGTTCGCAGTGATAGGGAGGCAGCCTGAGAATCGTTTTATTTTGGTTTTTGGCCATTTCGTCAACAATTTTTAAATCATATTTATACTTATGTCGCTTGACTATATTTATCAGCTCAGCTTTGACCATTGTTTGGTCGAAGTCGATCTTCTTTGAGACAAGCCACTGTTGAATGTCTGCCTTTTTGGTGGCCATTGTTGGAATTTTTTCCAATTTTCTGGAGTGGTACGGGGCATTATCCATCACAATAATTGCGTTATCATCAAGTGTCGGCAAAATTTTTTTGAACCAATTTTCAAATGAGTTACCATCCATTTCTTCGTGATAGTCTCCAGTTTTTTTGGATTCAAATACCCACAATGCTTCAGGAACAAATCCATCTACGCTACCTATGTGGCAAATGATCAGGCGTTTTCCCTTGCCTGAAAGTAATTAGTTATTTTACTTCTCAGCGAGCGCACTAAATGACGAAATTAAGCAACTTACTCTTTTTAGGTTAGTGTAGGATAGGGTCTTAGATTAGTTTTTGGGTGAAGGAAATACTCAGAAACTTGGATGAGATAGCAAAACTGAGTTCGGAGCTTCCAAATCATTGATTCGATCAGAAAATGAATTATCTGCATCCAAAAAAGTTCATATACTTCGAAACTTACCTGCAGGATTTTTCAATCCCGTCGAAAGGCCATCTAAAAAAGCCTGCCTTGAGGACCTCACAGATCTGTCTACCCAAACCTTTCCCTGCGTATGCCCCGCGTTCACCCATGTTTCGTCTAAATAATAAATTTTTCTTCCTTCAGCGCGGAATTGCCTAATTTTTCTAAGGTATTCTCTCCTCCAGATAACAATTTCCTCCTTTTCTATCAATAAACTATTCCTTCCTCTTTTCAAAAATCGAAAGTCTAGTTCTTTCAATAGCTTATGGAACGTAGATCTTTTAAAATTTGGCAGGTCCTCATCATCATTCACTTGCTTCAATATTTTATCTATTGTAGGTATTTCATTCCTGAAGAAAAAGTGATGTACTTTTCTTCTAATGGCACTTTTGTCAAAGTCATCTATTTTTTCGATGATTTTTTTCTCGCTGGATATGTTTTTCGCTCAGATAGTGAGTGATTTTGTCTATATTCCTTCAAGATTTTGTAAACACTTGATCGACCTACTCCAGAAATTTCAGCAACCTTACATACGATATTTTCTATAGCCAATCCACTATTCTCTTGCATCTGGTTCTTGTAGATATTTAGAATAATTTGTTTTTCACCTGCGCTAAGATGAAGCTTTTTAGCCCTTTTTCTGGGTGACGTTAAGCTGATTTCAACCACTTCATCAGCTGTATCTGTGTCAGACATTTTAGACTAATATTAAATTTCCGCAAGAAAAATCAAGTCAAGACGTGCATAAAACGTTCGCGCTCATAAACGGGTATCCGTAACTGATTACAATCCTGTGCGTGGTGACGAACCATCAACGTGACGCTGAGAGTTCCCTCTACTATGCAGCGTTGCCAGGCTTAATGTCACAATGATCATGTTTTATTGGGAAAATTGTCAGAAATCGCCGAATGTTGAACAGAAACATTACAAGAAGTCTAACCTTGAAATGTGAGGCTACAAATCGATATTCTTATAGGGGGGAAGGGTAGGGAGCTGTTATGGTTCCTATTAACCTTGGTGAAAGTTGGAAACGGTAATATCATATATGGCATACATTCGGTTGAAGGTGTGTGCACGGAAAATAGATTGCGGATAGGATTTTAATAGATAAATCTGCCCAAAAAAACACAAAAGGAGATTTTTGTATTTCCCTGAAGAATATCTCAACGTTATTTCAGATGTACTCATCGAAACTTTATGGAAGGATTATCGAAACCTTATTTTCAATTGCGATAGGGCCATATACCTCGACATCGCATTAATGTGAAAAATAAGACAATAGAAAAAAATTCCCTCACTGATGCTATCTCTTAGGAAAAATTTAACTATAAAGATTGCACAAAAATTTTCTTCACCTTTTTGAGCTTGTTTTCGCATCTCCGTATATGCCGTTCATAATTTGCTGCAGATCAAATTGGAATATACCTTTGTGATGCCATTTATTGTTATATAATGTCCTTTACAACAGTTATTGCACGTATTGCACCAACAGATTGATTTGTGATCCATGCGAATGTGATCAACCACTCTGGCGAAAACTCGCCGAGCGTGGCAACCGTGCAACTTTGTCTGGAGGCTCGTCGCTATAAGCCAATCAGGAAGAGGCCGACAGAGCGCCATGGCTACTGATCACGCGTTTCTCACGAATCAACCACTGTTTACGATTACTTTGTAGCTTCGTTAGATACACTTTAGACACCAAATCAGCATACTTCAACGTAAACATTTTTCTATTATACGAAACACTAATAACACTTGGAATATCTAAACAAATTTGTAATCTAATTTTTAATTTACTGAATAACAGAACAGTATATACAATAGATAATGAAAACAATATACATGGCCCAAAGGTCACCTCACTAGGCCTTCCTCAGGGGTCCACTCTAAGCCTACTATTGTTTAACATATATATAAATGAATTATATTCAATATTACCAGAACACATACATTTACTCAGCTACGCAGGCGATATGGCACTGATGGTCAACGATAACAAAATAGACAAAATGGCGGAAATATTAAACGAGTATCTGGAAAGAGTAAACGTTTGGATGAAAAGCCACAACTTTGAAATATCAGTGAAAAAAAGTTCAGCGATATGGTTTACGAAAGGTAATCGAAAGCGGTCCACACCAATAATAATAAATAAAAATATAGAGCTCAAAAACCAAACGAAATACTTAGGGGTCATACTACATAAAAATTTAAAATGGAGCGCACAGATAGACAATATGATAAATAAGGCTAATAGGGGAATAAAACTTTTAAAAATTTCTGGGAAGGTTTCCTGGGGTGCCGACCCTGCAACCTTACACATGGCGTATAACGGACTAGTTAAATCCCATCTGGATTATGGTAGCATACTATTAAGTTCCTGCAATCAAAAAGATCTCAATAAACTCCAGAAGACGGCATTTCAAGGGCTCAGGATCATAACGGGTACCATGAAGTCAACACCAACTAACACGTTACTAGCAGAAACCGCGGAAATGGATCTACACCACAGGCGGTTCTGGTTATGCACTAAATTTCTAGCGAAAAAAATTAGAATTCAAGCCCACCCCTTAATCATGATATTAAAAAAACTAAAAAACCAATATGAGTCAGGCCAAGACTATTGGAGGAATAGAGCGCCCACCATCACACCATAGAAGCCCTTAACATTTTGGAGGAATACATTCCACTAATCCTTTCGGGACGAGTCCTACCGTGCTTCGAGTTTGATTACACTACTCAAACTTGGGCAGTGAAAGTCATCCCCCTTAACATAAACAAAAATGATCACAATATCGAGCTGCAATTTCTACAAATTATGGAACAGTTCAGAGACACTCACACCCTTATATACGCTGACGTATCTAAAGTGGACTATAAAGTGGGATATGAGGTACACATTCCTCAACTGGAACATAACTACACATCCAGACTCCCTGACTACTTAAATATCTGCGCGGCGGAAGTAGCAGCGATTAACAAAGCATGCAACATAGTAATAGAAAAGAAAATCCGGAAAAGCCTAATATTAACAGACTCGCAAAGTGCTATAGCACAAATAGCAAAACAAGGTGTGGATGCTAACTCAGAATATGGCTGTCTCACAACAGCTAATTCACGAAGCTGCAGAAAAAGGATACAATATTGAACTGGCTTGGATCTCAGGACACTCAAACATTAGAGGAAATGAAACGGCAGACACTCTAGCTAACTTAGGAAGACAACTTGGAATCCCACAAGATACGAAACTTACTATAGCCGATATACTAAGGCCAAAACAAAAATAAAGGAGACATTCACAACAATGTGGAAATGAACATTCATTAGCAAAGGCAGGTGGTATAAGAAAATACAAGAAGAATTTCTGGTCAAACCATTCTACTCCAAAATCCTGTATATAAGCAGAGGACACCTAACAGCCATAATCAGAATGAGAATGGGACATGCAAGATATAAAGTTCACATGTTCAAAATAGGAATGGAAGATGACCCCTTCTGTGATTGTGGACAATATGCAGATTTAAATCATATACTATTAGAATGCTCAATAAATCAAATATTAGGTTTTAATCTATATGAAGAGATAAGAAAAGCTGGAGTCAATGCCCCCTTTAACATTCAATTAATACTTGCAAATATCAACATGAAGTCATATACCTATTAACCTACTTCATTCAGACAAATAAAATAATATTATAACTGTTTCAGATCCCCATCTTTTAAAACCCTGGGTGCTAATCCTTTTCTGAGGCAACATTTAGGGTGTGTGTAATGTACCTCCGTTGCCCAGGTACGAGAAAAGTTTATACCTGTGTTGAGCCAGACAAAGTACAGTCACAACAAATGAGCTGCCGGATTGTACACATGTACAGAAGCCACAAGGAATAAAGAAGAAGCATGATTAAGAATGCTAAAAATGCATTTTTAAATGCAAAAAAGGCATTATTAAATGCATTAATGACAGACTGCAAACACACAGCAAGAGTCATGAATACTTTAGTGGATGCCAAAATGCATTTTTAAATGCAATGAACGCATTTTTAAATGCAAAAAATGTTTTTTAAGTTCCAAAAATTCATTTCCACATGCAAAATAATGCATTAATGACAGATTGCGGATGCGGAGCAAGAGTCATGACATGTATCAGAAAAACACTCATTTTTCAACATCTATTTATATAGTGTATTTCAGAACAATCTAAGATGTTCTGACAGAGAACTTAAAAATAACAATTTAGATAGAAGCTTGCTGGTTAAACGGCTTCGATTTTTTGTAGCTGTCAAACCAGCTTTGGAAAAAAGTATTTCACTTGGAACAGAAGTGGCCAAAATGCAGAAGTGTTTTAATGACAATTTATATAAATTTAGATATATGCCCTTCATTTCTTCCCATAATTCCAAGGGATCCTCTTTCAATTGCCTCACTGGTACTCCCAAATACTGTGTTACTTCATCAGTACCCACAATGGGGCTAGAACTTTTCCTTTTTGTGTGTGCTATCTTCTTGTGGTATGCCCATAAATCAAAGGAATCATCTTCTGACATTGCTGCTTCAGATTCTGATGAAGAAAATGATTCATTTTGTGCGATTTCAGATTTTATAAATCTTATTGTTGTGGAAATTGCAATTGGATCTTTAAAATGCAAAATTTTACACCTGGGATCCAATACTATTGATATGGCTGGCAAAAGTGATTTTTCTATCCCATCAAATCTTTTGTTGAATTCTTTTAAAAATTCCATCTTCAACTTCCTTCCAAGTTCATGAACTATCTCCTGCCCATTATTATTACTAACTGTAAGAAAATTCTGACCACTTATCTCTTTGGTCATTTGCTCCAAAGGGTGTAATAATCTTTTAATTTCCTTCAATTGATCAAGCTCATTCCCACTTAACATTGCTGGTGCATCAGCTTGAGAAAGAATTATATTGCTAACTTCAGGCACCAGCTCTAAAAATCTTCCAATCATATACAATGTTGAATTCCATCAAGTTTTTACATCCAAAATAAGTTTTTTCTGATTTCCTTCAAGTGTCCCTGCCTGTTGTTGGGTACTCCATACCAAATCAGTAGCTTTTACACTTCTTTTGAAATAAATGACAATGGATCTTGCTTTTTCAATTAGGTAACTTAAACCTTCTGTATTTTTAATTGCATTCTCACACAGATTTAAGGTATGTGCCAAACATGGGATATGTTTTTGTTTTCCAAATGTGTCTACAACAGCTTTGACAATATTTGCAGCATTATCTGTTATCACAGCAACTACTTTATCAGTAGTTATACCTCATTCGCTCAAACTACTGACAAGTTGCGACCCAATGTAAGCAGCTGTGTGTGCCTCATTTAATTCAGTAACCCCAATTGTTGCTGAGTTCAATATCAATTTATGAATAAAATGAATTGTAATACCCAGATAACTTTTTGTTTGTAAATCAGCAGTCGTCCATGTCTGTTATTACTATAAAATATTGTATGTTTGAGAAAATTTCTTTGAAGATAGCAGAAGCTGTATTGTACTTTTCATCTACTCTTGCTTTTACTGTGTTCCTAGTTGGTATTTTATATAGTGGTGCGACCCTTTTCATGAAGTTGTGAAAGCCTTTCTCTTCCACTGTACTGAAGGGCAGATTGTCTTGCACAATGAAATTCACAACGGCCTCTGTTATCTTGACATTCCACCATCTAAAAATAATATGCAATTTTCAATAATTAAATTATTTTATTGATAGCCTGATTTAATACTGTTGTAAATCATCCATTGACTGTACAGTGTATAGGTTAAATTAACAAAGTCATATTTTAAACATGTTTTGCAAACTTTACCTGAATAGGACGAGACTTTTTTCATTGAATTAATAATTGATGGCTGTTTCAAAACTGTCATATCAGTCAAATTTGAGTGACGACTTTCCTCATTTATATTTGACATTGAAGAAGTAAAAGCTTCAGAAGATTCAATAGTCAAAGTTGATGTATTTGACTGGCCATCATCTTGTAAGGAAATCTTTTCCTGAAGTAAAAAGTATATCATTAGATGAAAATATATAAAAAACTAGAAAAAGAATATTAAAATATAAATAACTCACCTTCGTAGTGCCACCTCCATGAGGTTGAGGACCCTTTTCCACATGTTGAGAATCCCCGATTTGTTTATAATTTTGTTTTAAACGATTTTTGAGATTAGTGATATTCCCCGAAGTTTTCAAAATCTTGGAGCATATATTGCAATGAGCTAGATCTTTCGAGAGCTTCGTGAAATGTTGCTATATAAAACTTTTTGGTGGAGCCATTTTCAAATAACGTTGATTCAAACTATCAAACAAAGAACAGAACACCCCCCCCCAGAACAAGAAATACGCACAAATCAGTCCAATTCCAATCGACCTCAGAGTTTGTGTTAGAATGTTGGGGTTTAGAAAAAGTGAAAAAGAAACAAAGAAAAAAACAGTATCATTGAAAATATTCACATTGACTTTTGACACTAAAGACATGACGCATGACAGCCGCATTTGGCGTACCACGTAACACAATGGGGTGTGTTCGGATCATCGCTCGAAGTGCATAAAATATCATGGAAGTACTGATAAGATAAAGGAATACGATATATTGTATGAAAATATCGATATATACCGATATATTGAAACAAATATATCGATTATAATATATCGATATGTTTTTATGAAATATCGATATATAAAAATAATCGATATATCGTTGCCATCCCTAAGTGGGTGTGAAGCTAAAAATGTCGACGATGAAATGAGTTGGGACACTGCATACCAAATGAATATCGGAACTGCAAAAATATGTTTTATTTTGTATGACATGTATGTAGATAAAGAAACACCATAATAGGCGTATTCTTTAATTCACCGGTTGAGCCACCGGTACAAACAATTAGCAAATTTTATTTCCTTTAATTTCCGACTGAGCGGAAATTACAAGAAATAAAATTCAAGCGAACCACCAACATTTCTGTGTTATGTACCGCGGTTATAACATGAATCAAATTCAAGCGAATAACCAAATGAAAATGGTATTTACCATTTTGGATTGGTATTTACCGATCCGTTCAAGCGTGTGTGGTTATCAGTTTGGTTATAAGATCCGTGACGTCATGAATCAGCTGTTATATGTCACAGTTAACACCGCAAAATTGTGGTATTTACCCAACTGGATAATGTCCACCTGTATACGGTTTTGCTAATATCTTTCCTCATCGATTTTTCCTATCATTTCTGCTAAATTAATAAATGTTTTCTTTGGCATGCGGAAAAGATTAGATTTAGATTTAGCTACAAAGCTATGGTTCCATCATTGAAAATTGTTTTCTGAAAAAAAAAACACTTCTCCCATTATTATTATGAAGTTTCTTTTTAAACTTTCCATACACTGTTGTAGACGAAAAAGAACCGATTATTAAGTGATGATAAAATAATCAGAAATTATATACGCGCTTTTCTAAAATAAACAACTTTTCAACAAAACCGCGGTTAAAACCAACGCGTTTAAGCGATTCGGGTAACTGACGTCATCAACCCGTGTGTCATCTTGAATCAGTATAACTGCGGTACATAACACAGAAATTTTGGTTATTCGCTTGGACTTGATTTATATCCAGATGGCAGACTTCAGGAACGGTCCTAACCATGAAGACTAGAGGTTAATCTCATGGAGTGGGGGTAGGGATGGGATTTCATAATTAATGGGAGAAAGTTTTTTTCAGAAAAACATTTTTTATGATGGAACCATGGCTTTGGAGCTGCGATAACTTTCAATTCTCTAAACATTTCCGCATGTTAAAGAAAACATTAATTGATTTAGCAGAAATGATAGGAAAAAGCGATGAAAAAAGGTATTAGCAAAACCGTATACAGGTGGACATTATCCAGTGAGTTTATATGGCCATATTTTAATATCCTTGTGGTATATGGCTACACAGGATACTTTGTTAAGCATAGGAACTAGATTTAAAGTGTCCCCAACAACAGTAATGAGTATATCTAATAAGGTGCTCTACTTTATACTACAACTGCAGTCAGCCTGTATCAAGTTTCTCAAAAATGAAGCTGAAGTACAACAAAAATATCCAATACCCGCCAAAATTCTAACTTGTCACATTTCAAATAATAACCAGAAATATAAAACTACTCCGGAGTTGTTGTTGTTGTTGAAGATTTATTTACCATTAATGCTACAATGTCAATATAATGATTCGGTTACATATTTTTCTTCAATCCATTTTCTGTAATTTTACATTCTTGTCTATTAAAATTAAAATTACGTCACAAGGTATTTTGATTAATAATAAAGTGATTTTTTAATTTCACCTTGAACATTTTTAAATTCGAACTCTGTTTAACAACATTATTCAATTTATTAAATTCAAATACTCCCCTTTGAAATATGGATTTACTAGTTATGCGACTATAACAATTTTGCAGGTAAAAATCTATACTGCCTCTAGTTTGGTAGTTACGATAATAGAACAATTTTCCCCCTGAAGGGAAGAAAATTGATATTTCGGGTCTTGCCATAGGCCTGACCGTTGTGAGTGGTGTATTCCCCCTTTCCTCTCGACTTTACTTACCCCATTCTAGCAACCCAACCAATACGCCAATGAGTATTCCCCACCCCGCGCCATGGCTAGCCGGCAAGTGGCAAGTTTCTCGCTTATTCTTCAGTACCTTTAAGCCGGCAAGGAATTGGCTAGGTCTGGCCTATGGCAAGACCCGAAATATCAATTTTCTTCCCTTCAGGGGGAAAATTGTTCTATTTCGGCTCTGTGCCTACGGCCTGACCGTTGAGATCTGTTTATGTTCTGCCAGCTAGGGGGGCTTTAGAACTGTTAAATAGTGATATTGAAAAAATTATGAATTGGTTAAATGTCAATAAAGTTAGATTAAACACTAATAAAACAAAATGTATGTCTATAGGGAAACATTTAGGTGACAATACAATTAGGCTCATGATTAATGATGAAAAAATTGAAGTAGTCGAGTCATTTAAATATCTTGGAATATATGTGGATAGTAAGCTACTGTTTCCTGAACATTATGAATACATTATTTCAAAGATATCAAAAAAGATAAATTACTTCTATAGACTTTCCCATAATCTTAGTATGTATTCCAAAAAAATTGTGTATAATATGGTATTATATATAATATATACATATATATATATATATACATATATACAGGGTGACTTTGAAGTTGAGTCATTAATTTTCAGATAATGATTGTAGAAGGAAGATAAACCAAAACATGTGTGTAAAAATAAAAAAAAATTAAAAAAAAAATGTTCTTACCTTGTTTTATAAAGTATCCTCCCGACTAGTATTTCAGTGCGGACCTGTATTTGATCGTGCGGTCTTGGAGCACCGGCATGCCCTCCCCTGTGAGGTCTTAAGTCACCTGATTCACGAGCCCTTTGTACTACATTCAGCATTTTCGTAAACATGTGCCATTTTTTATTTCGTTTGAGCCACGCAAGAAACACCACTATTCACTCACGCGTTACCGACTGACACATCGACTGAATACAACTGAATAAGATTGTACATTGTAGTAAAAACATCGTTTCAAATTCTTTCGCTTTTTTGTTTCCGATGCGATGAACGGATAAGGCGCATTATATCCGTTATTGCCAAACACGAGCACATAATATTATTATTGAGACAGGGCGGTACTCAAACTTCTAAAGGGCTATGACTTTGTAACTTTAATTTTACCAGAAAAATGTTAAAAGAAAAAAACATTTCTTTTGATCAGATCTACTCCCTGTTAAAATAACTGACTCAACTTCGAAGTTGAATTCTTCCCCATTTTTTATATTATGTTCAACCATCTTGTTTACAGCAAATGTAAACATATTTTCAAAATTACAAATTCTACAAAATAAAGCTGAGAATCATTTTAAATAAAAACAAATATGCTAGGATTAAGTCTAAGTTAGAAAAACTGCAGTGGTTGGATGTGAAAAATTTCATATATTATTTAGTTCTCATTTTCATATTCAAATTAAAAAATCATTTAGTACCACTACATTTAGAGTACTTCACAAAATTAAATAGTCATTTCGGCGCTGAGCCTACGGCCTGACCGTTGAGATTACCCTCTTCATTTACAGCGTTGTGAGTGGTGTTCCCCCTTTCCTCTCGACTTTTCTTACCCCATTCTAGCATCCCAACCCCTACGTCTATGAGTATCCCCCTCCCCGCGCCATGGCTAGCCGGCAAGTGGCGAGTTTCTCGCTTGTTCTTCAGTACGCTTTATTTACAGCGAGTGAGCGGTGTTCCGTGAGTGCGCAGAAGTGACGCGTGAGAGCTAACGTTGTATAACGTTTGTATTAGGATTAAGATAATCTCGGTAACATCCCATCTATGAGTAAATGTAATTTTCTCTGTTTTAGATATAGTAGCAACATTCGATTCTCAACACGGCTAATTAATCTACGAGAATCAGACGTATCTCTTCCTATGCTCTCAGGCCATGAACAGACGTACGGATATATACAGTGATTCAGTTTTATGGCCGTCTAACCAGTGCTCGAGTCAATCACACTCAGCTATGCAAACATGTGTTTCAAACGGCACCGCAGTTTGGCCCGAGCTGTTCGGGACCTTGAACCGGGTGGACACAGAAATTGATCCTACCGTCTGATGAATTTGGGGCCCGACCACCGACTAAACCGGGCCCGATCGGAAGAAAAATTGTCCGACCAACCGCACACTTTGGCCCGACCGGCCGCACACTTGATTCGACCAACCTATGACGAATCACAGAGAGCAGTTATCTGGTTAAGAATCGAATTGCTTACAAGGCAAGCAATAATTTGTGATCCATCTTCAGATGGCAACTGAATTTGTTATGCTGGGCTGTTCCTGAGAAGCTGTGGAAATGGAGATGAGGAGGTTTATGAAAAAATCAAGCTCTTAATAGAAGACACTTTACCAAACGGATGGCGGGCATGGAAGGTTATAGTCTGGTCAAAGGAAGAGCTATTGGGAAAAAACATCGACCATAAGGCTCTCAATAAAATTAGGTTTGCGTTACCAACCTTTGAAATCGTAAAAGCTTTTCACCCAGAGGCAGCATCTGTGGGGGAGAAGACCTACAAAAACATCAAATTGGCTCTCTTAAATAAATTGGGATATCTGCGAGGCACTTCGACCGGTCAAGCGACCCAGAAACATAAAACGTCAGTTATCCCCGAATCATGACAACATTGAATCGAGACTGAGCAAGCTGGAAGGAATAATCGAGAGCATTTTCCAAACTCTCAATGGAAATAAAAAAAAATCAAGCGACACTGTCAGCTGGACGGCACCAAGCCCCGACCTGAACTTGCCGTTCGAGGCAGAAGTAAACAATTCTCACGATTTTCTCCCCAGTGACAAAGGAAACCGAACCAACTATTCCTGAAGCTGAACAGCTAATTTAATTGCTGGGCATAGCATGTCAACGATTTGGGCTTCTTGGAATA